ATAGCAAGAGCATCCGTGAAATTAAAGCATACCTTTTACCCCAACATTAATATTTTTGTCAGCTTTGGTATATGTATTATGTGTGTGTGTCTATATATGTCTCAATCTATCATAGAAAGAGAAATCTACTAGATTTTTAATGAACTGTTGCCATCTCTCTACTCCTTGTACATTATATGACCTATATATATATATATATATATATGTATGTATGTTTGTGTACAGGATAACATTTTAATTTCTTCTTTTTGCTTCCTGTGTTTCGAGGGTAGATTGAACACATAATGTTTAAGAGATATACAAGCGATTCATTAAAAATTTACATTAGCTAGCTGTTCTATTACGCTTTTCATTTCTCCAAAGGGGTTCATGACTTGCTTACTATATAAGTTTTACATATTAGATTGTATATTAAATTATGTCGTAGCTAGTAAAACTCCATCAGGAATGAGATATCATTGATTTATGTCAATTTCAACTTGCCCTTGTGATAGTTCCTCTAGAGCTCTAATATATATATACATATATATATGTGTGTGTATGTATGTACATATCTAGTGTGTGTAATGTGTAAGGTCTCGTCACTTCACGGATTCGAGTTTTGAATTCGAGCTGAGATGTGATATTTTTTGAGAGTTTTTTATTGTAGCAGAAAAAGTTAGATGTGATATTTTTTGAGAATTTTTTACTGTAAAAACCTAAAATTAAAAATTAAAATCGGTAAAATGAACGAGGATTAAGATTTATGCATGTATGCAACTTGATCAGCAACTAAAGTGCAAATATGTGGTGTTTGCCAACTTGCATTAATGGGACAATCGATTAAAAAGGTTGAGCTTTTTGTACTCTTAGTGCTTTGTCCTTTTAGATGGTTCATTTTCTGTAAGTTTTGGCTTGTTGTGGTCATGATAGTATACAACCTAATAGATCAAATGCGTCCTTCCTCAATCTTTAGTTATCATGATTTGAAACGTGAGGCGTTTCCTTTCCAAAAGGGTGGTGAATAGTGACAAAGACCTAGCTATCTAGATTTCACATGCATGCAATGTGTGCAATTTTAATTAATCTTTTATGAATTTGATTGATTGGTTAAATCATGTCTGGAAATCTTTCTTTATGACGTGATCGGTTTATATTTTGACTATTTATGAATCTGATTAAAGATCGATAATTGGTGTTGAATTTAAGTTACATCCCTTTAGGGACTACCATATGGTTAGCACTTTAAATTATTACACTTTTATGGAACTAGAGGTCCTACAATCTTTGTATCTAGATATAAACAAGACGTTAATAAAGTTTAATTTGGCATTACATGGTTTTAATCGATCATTATTATGCGTATTAGTGACATGAATTGTGCATTGGTTAATATGTGATTTGCTCTGTTTGTTTTGTCTTAAGCTATATAATTAAATATTGTAGCATATCCTTTTCAAAGCTCAAATATGACGGGAACTGTAAATTTTCCCAATTATCATGTGTTGCTTAATTAGAACCAAGAAAAATGTCTTCTCAATTTCTCTGTGCATGCTCGTGATAAAAACATTTTTGCAATAGCCAACCAAATAGACAATCCCATCTTGTTGGAACATTGGTACTCCGCCAATATTATTTCGGATTTTTGTTTTGGTAATTAATATTATTTTGGATAGTTGTTTAGTCGATAATACCAAAAAAAAAAAAAAAGAAAAAAAGACCTTTTGGCGCTACTTGTGTCAAATTGTTGATTTGACAGTTCAGCGAGGACAGAAACTGTGCTTTCATTTATTTTATCAATTTGAGTTTTTAATTTTAAGTTTTTATAGTTAAATTTTTTTTAAAAATATAACACTTAATTTTTTCTGTTTCAGTTAAAAATTTTTAAAAAAATGTCACATCTCAGTTTAAATTAAAAATTTAAATTTGTATAGAAAAGGAGGCTTAAATTTTCCGCCGACGGTTTCTACGGCTACAATAACTGTTAATTATACTATATATGTATATACACACACATATAACTATATGTATATATAGGTATGCATGTGTAGTTTTTGATCAAATACTGACAATTGAAAACTATACAAATGACATGGAAGCAAGCAACTTGCCTGGCTCTTTCTGTTCATTGCCCTCTCAATCCCGTACTCATCACTGTCGCACACACAAGATATGTTGTTCATGTGGATATTTAGGTCCCGTTCTTTTTGTTGATTTGAGTTTAAAATTCAAGTTTTGTTACAGTAAAAAGCTCTCAAAAAAGTCACATCTAATTTTTTTACTATAATAAAAAATTTTCACATAATATCACATCTCAATTCAAATTAAAAATTTAAATTAGTGAATCAAAACGGCTAGGAGCCGTAGGTTTAGGATATTCATGGTCACTGTCACGGAGAAGATATACAACTAAATATATGTAAAGCTGCCCATTATAATATTGAGATATTCATTTCATTATGCGCAATTTGGAAATATTGTGTTAGAAGGTTGGCGGCCCTTGCTAAATCTTTTGCATTTAGATTGAAGGAAAATTTATCGATATCAATTTTGTTGTTTAACGCTTTTTTTTTCCTTTTTTTTTTTGGAATTTGAATTTGAAGTTGGGGATCGGGGATGGATAACAAAATAACAACATGAAGATTAATTAACGATGGTCAGAGATATTATCGAACTCAATTTATATAAGAAAAATAAATTCTAAAAATGAAAAAATGGACTTAGTGATACCCCATCTTATTAGAGCCATCCTAAGTAATTAATAGGGATGAATATTGAAGACGTGCTAGAGATGGTAGCTAAGATTGTTGTGAAACTATATATAAACGACCAAAGACCTGGCCGCTGATGTCAAATGTAGCATTTTTCAGTCTCGTTTCTATGAAATTTAATAAAAAAAATATCACCTTAAAGATTTTTCATGACATTCGAAGAAAAAATGTTTTAGAGAAAAGAAAATTGTCGAGAAAAATTTGTTATAGAAGATATGCTAGCATTACTCTTTCTATCCCTCTTTTTGTCACTATTTACATTCATTGTTTTACACGTAGACTCCATTAACATGATATGTTATTATTTAAATAAAAAATGATATAGTGGAATTCACATGTCAAACAATGAATACAGAAAGTGACAGAAAGAGTAACACTAATATTTTTCGTACAACAAAATTTTTTCTCAACAATTTTCTTTTTCTCAAAATAAAAAACAGAAAAAGTGATGTCAATATTTCTCTTTATTGTAGTAAGAACTTATAATGATTAAAAAAGAAAAAAGAAAAGAAAAACCTACTAGGATCATGGATAATAATAGTTGTTAGCTGAGGCATTAATGTTGGATAGGACAACTACTAGAGTTTACCAAAAGTTGTTTGCATGTATTAAGCTTCAAGTTATATGACTTTCTGGTAGGATTGCATATTTACCATGTTCATGTAGACTTTCCCTCTCAAACGTAATGACCTCAAATAGTTTTTTTTTTTTTTTTTTTTTTTCACTATTTATTTACACTTAAAAATGCCGTTTGTTGACCGTGAGGACCACCCATGAATATGACATCACGAGGGGAGAAACGCCTCGGATGTCAACATGGCACGACAAGATAATAGGCTCCGACGTTCGCGACACGGGAGGTAGAAGAGGAGGATTGGACAGCCGCAACCCGCAGAGAGTGATTGCCATTGGACCCGCGATTCCATAGAAAGACATCACGATTCCTTGTGAAAAAAAAATTATTTGCTGAGAGGAAAAGAACGGTATAAAATTCCTACCAAGATAACTAGAAGTTCCAACCAATAAAAACCCTAATGAACCTAAAAAAAGGATAAAAGCCCAGTAGACATTACTCGGTTTTCGAGACCCCGCTATGAGGAAGGGTAAGAGATAGAGAAGCAAATGATAAAAGGGAAGAAAATGAGGGCTAGATCAGTTTGTTTTGCATTAGTTTTTGATATTTTGAATGCCGAACGTTGTATATTTGAAGAAAAAAGTTGTTTTTCTCTTTTGAGCGATTAGATAAAAACATGTGAATCAATAGAAATTTTAGCGCTATATTAATAAAAAAAAAATTCTAAACAACCTGACTCAGCTGTTAGAGATTAGCCCCACCAACGTTGCAAATACTGTCGAAACTACTGAAATTTAGGTGGAAATTTTGGTATTTTGAGGGTTCTGTCATTTTTTTTGAACTATAAATCAATTTCGGCAGAAAATCAGAAAATCATTGATTAAAAATTTCAATATAATATTGATTAATATATTGATTTCGGGTTGCCAGTAGTGTAAATTGGATAAAATTTCGAGATATTTCGGGAAAATTTCAGAAAATGTTAACCGTAAAGAGTTCTTTTTTTTTTTTTTTTTTTTTTCTCTCTTGTTGTATCATATGATAGACATAATTTTGTCATTTTATAAGTTGTAACAAGCTTTAAAGAAGACCACATATCATATGATCCAATTATAGCTGTGATCGTCCAATGAGCCTCCACGCATTCATTATCCACATAAACATGATTTTAAAAACTATGATTGATATAGAATTTTCAATTATCTTCATAATGTATCACCACCATCTCAGGCAAACAATTAAGAAATCTAATATGTATGATATTTTTTTATATAAAACTCATTTATTTATATATCTTTTCAATGTTTATGTTATCATAGAGTATTAAAAATATGTTCAAATATAAATTTCCGCAGCTTCAATAATTTTTCTTGATATTTCCACCGATATCAATATTTTCTCTAAAAATTCCGTAAACCAAGAGTAACGATGTTTCTACCAATACCGATATTTTCATTCTTAGCCCCACTAGCGTAGAGCACACCCTCTCTCACAACCTAATTCATCCGAATCGGGTCGCATAGAAGTGACCTATTTATTGCACTTTTTATTTACTATACCTCATACTACAGCGTGTCAATTTTATAACCACGCAACTCTTTAAGAAGAGATATAAATAAGCACTTGTATGATTAAAAAATTGCAACATTACACGAGGTTGAGAAAATGGTGCCCTAACGCTTTTCCATAAATAATAGGTCACTGAATATTATCCTATTTTGGCTAACCAGGAAATTATATTGTTATTATGGCAGATATTCGTAAAATACAAAGAACATGCTAATGTAAACTTTTTGGCAACATATTTTTCCAATACTAAAAAGTACCACTTCTAGTTGAAATCCTAAGAAAGGAGACCTCAAATTTGCAGGCCGTCAAAAACTTAAGCTCACTTGGGAAAAAATGGTTAACTTTTGCCTTTTTCTTCCTTCATTTCGGTTTGTGTTTGACCCTCTGCCATTTTAAACTTGACAACAAAACAAAGTGATCAATTGTAAAAAAGAACAGCAGAAATCACACAGGAAAACACCTAAAAAGCACAAACATTTGTTGAATCCTCTTATCTGTGCCTTGAACCCTGAAAAGGAAACGGGACTTAGTTCAGTTTCTGACAGAGGCCCTTTCGATTAATCCTGATCGGGGGATAAAGCGGATGACACTAGGTGGTTTTCTTCCTTTGGGGAAGTCGCCATCATTTGATCTTCCTGCCATTTCAAGAAACCCTCCTCGAGAGCCTTTCGCATCCATTGATGCCGGCAACGCTCCATGGCTTCCGGGATGGTGAGCCAGCTTCTTTGGCGAGTGCTTTGCTCTGGCCAGAACTGAAGCTCCTCTTTCACGAGCAGCACAAACATGGCAGCCTTGCACAAACCTTCCGGACAAAACTCATCTTGCAGGGTTTTGCTCTTGAAACAGTAGTACCCCAAGAAGTGCTGAAAAAATAACAGCCTTGCATTGTAAGTAGCAACTACTGCGACAATTACCTTAAATAAAAACGGGTATAGAAACTTGTATTTACGGAAGCTATTAAGCAAATAAACAAGATATTTGTATTACACATATTCCTTGTATCTTTGTTAGTTGTCAATGACATCAAACATAACTCATAGAGATCTATAGTTGCACTCACCGATGGTCTCCATATGAGCATTATATTAAAAGTTTTTAGTTTTATTTTTATTTTTGTAATAAGAGCTTTATCTTAAAGTCAGGGCTCTGATGCTTAAAAAGAAAATGTTAAGAACAGAAAAACTTATTAAACTTTCATCCTCATCCATCAAGAGACTAAAGAAGAGAAAAACGCGTATGAAACTATAATCAAAGAAGAAACTCCTTGATAAAAAAGCAAATTACTGTACATAGGGTAACCAAAAACTTAAATACATCGGCAACCAAAAAAACAAAGACCGAGGTGATTGCTTCTCTCGTGAACAAGAAATTAACGTTCCACATGCTCAATGTGTCCATCACAGGACAGACCAATTCAATCTATAACTAATCAATGGGAAGATTGGATATCGGAATTTTAATTTTTTCCACAGATGCACATTTTCTACAATCGATGTCTGATGTCTAAAGCTGATCCCAAATAAAAAGCTTTTGTAGGAGGAGGAAAAATACGGTGCTTGTAAGTTGGAGGGGGCAAAAATAAATATATTATGAGTTTTCCTCCCTGTATTTTTAGAAAACAAAGAGAAGTACAATATCAGATTACTTTTGGTTTTAGTTCTTCAGAAAATAGGCATTGTACTACTTGCTGAAGTTTTAAGCTTATGACTAAAAGTTCAAGTGACTAACTAAGGTCTTTGCTTCTTACCAAGGGCTAATACTGATCTCGATAAACACATATTACACGACTGATGATCCATACCGCAAAGATAAGAGGTCGCTAAATTCTTACCACTAAATCACCTCGAACTCCAGCTTCTTCTACAGCTTCACGTACTGCTGCTTGCTCAACAGTTTCGTCATTTTCCCAGCCACCCTATGATCAAATAAACGGTCACTCACAAATATACAAGAATAACCCGAAAGCTTCCCCCTTGAGAGGTTGGGCGGGAGAAAGAAGTAGCAGAGAAAACAAAATGTATATTGGTAATTACTAGGGTACCAATTCAACAGTTATCATTTTGTAAAACAACATAAAAGTGTTGTTTGTAGCTCAAAAATAAGGATTTGAATTGCTTATATCCAAAGCTACACAAGTAACAGAGAAATAGATAATTTAAAGTTAACTTTAGACTACTAGTCTACCACAAGGAGCTAAAACTGAAAAGTTGGTCACCCGTCAAGATAAATACACACACACACACACACATTTAAGGCCAAGTCTTTTAACTAGTTTTGTTTAGATAATTGAATTTAAAGCAAACAGTGAATGTCCCGTAGTTTAGTAAAGTGGAACAATGGAACTGCTCATCATTATGGGGTAGCTGAGGAGACGGGCAGTGCCTAATAGGGATTCTTGAGAGAGCGAAAATGAAATGATTTTCATTCTGAGAACGAGAAAAACCGAGAGAAAAGGAAAGGAGAGGCACATATGGCTGTACACTTTTCCGGACAGGTTTTTATCAGCTCAGGGAAACAGTATTCAGATATTCTTGGATGCTTATGTGCAGGTACTCCAAATACATGTGAGGTAAATTTCCAAGATACCTCACTCAGGATCTTTGGATGCGAGAATAAAAACATTTCCAAGACAAACTTTGTCAAAACCGATTTATAAATTTCATTGACCACAGAATTTAGTGAGCGGCGCCAAATCTTTCTATGGATATGCTTCTTTCTCCTCTTTAGCTGACAAAGTGCTTATGGTACCAGTTTTCATATTTGGTTACCCGGAGCTCTTGTAGAGGTACCTATGGATGCATCATCTTGGCAGAAATTCCATTAAAAATGGAAACCAAGGCATTTTCAGATTTTCAATACCCATGTTTCCCAAAGTGACACTTTGTTCAACTCCGTTAATTTATACTCCAAGCATGAGCGTCGTCGTTGTATGATGCTGTTGGATGAAAAGCAGAAACAGGGAAACCAACACCAAATATGTAAAATCAATAGTGCCACTGCCACAGACCAAATATAAGAGTTTAAGGAACTACATCAATCCCATGTTCTTTCTCCTTCCTCTTACATGTAAACCATTATCAGGATAAGGAATCAAAAGGGGCTTTGCCACGTTCAGGAATTCTGAACTTATTGCAAGAAGTTCTGACATTTTTTCTGGCCAAAATGCAGATTCAATAGGAATATGAAGCATAAATGTCAACTAACTAAGAGAAGTCAAAAGTGTTAGTTTATAAATCATATCTAAAATAACAATTAATTCCTTTTCCTCTTTAACTTGATGGATATTGTATGGACAACGTATTAGAGCATGAATTTCTTCAAGGCAAAGCACTGTACCTTTGGAAACACAAGATTAGGTCCACTTGTTGAGTTGATCATTAGTACCTCAACAACATTCTCATATGCACCGCGATCATCCTTGATGTGATTTCTATACCTGAAAGGAATACACCTGCAGTATTGACAATCTGTGTTAGAACCTATCAAAAGCACATGCTTAACACAAGAAAATCAAAATAAGACAGGAAAGCAAGGCATTCTCCACCAAGGGGACAGGACTTATGTTCAGAATAACCAAGTGGACAGGCTGAAATTTCTTTAGCATCTACTACATTTTTTGAGTTATTCTACATAGCCTAAAGCTCCGATAGGACTAAACATCCAAAAGGGTATCTATACACACACACACACACACACACACATATTACAAAAAAAAAAAGTCAAAATAGCTAACTTATTTAATTATGTTTAAATCTTTAGTTAGAAAAGTTAATGAATCTAAGAATTTCAATCAGCAAATCACAAAAAATACCAAAATGCCAAAGCTTTACATAAGAAGAATAAGCTGAAAAGTCCCTGTAGTCTATTCCTGCCCCTGTTTGAAAACTTAAATGAAAGTTGAAGCAAATAAATCACCAATCATGATAATAGTATAAGAGCATTGTTAGTTTATCCTCTTGGCCAACCTAACATGGTCCATGTAATTTAATCATCCAAAATCACAAAATGATTGATTGAAAAAAAAAAAAAAAAATTTGTTTCATCATTATTTCTGTAACTAGTTTAGCATATATCTCAATACCATATCCCCACCTCTTCAAATTGCAATATACAAACACACAATGTCATAATAATAATATAAAAAAAAAAAAATAATAAAGACTAAATGAATGCTAATGAAAAGGACTGTTAACCATTTAATATCAAATAAACCAGCACTGTCCAAACACAAAATTACTCATTCAAGACGCTAATTTGAATTCCTTTGTTTTCATTTTTAAACTTTTCGCCCATAAAATTACACAATTCGTTCATACGCACCAAGACGAACACGAAATCTGACAAAATAGAAAGAGAGAGGAGAGAGAGAGTACCCGGCGACGAGGCGGCAACCATCTTGGTACCGCTGCAATTGACGACCAGTCCGAGCCACCAACTCCGAGTCCGACATTTCTCTCTCTCTCTCTCCACAAAACTCTTCAATTCTCGTCTCGATTTCTCTCTCTCTCTCTCTAGAAATGTGTGATTCTGAGATTCTTGAGGAGCGCTACAACGACACCGCAATCGAGAGAAAAGCGCGAGGAGAACGACGAACAGCGATCAGAACCATATCGAAGAAATTGGGTTTTTCTTCGATTCAAAATTTCAATCCAAGGAAGAAATTTTTGCTGAATTCGAAAATGCTTGTTTTGGTTTTCTTTTCTTTTTTTTTTTTCCTGATTTTGAAATCTGAATCTGAAATCCGTTGTCTCTAAGACCGACCAATAATCCTGGGGAGGGCCTGCATTACGCGCAGCTTCACCGCAATTTCTCAATTTTCGCGCCCATCGAACATGAACCGCCGTTAACCGACAAAGCCGGTGACCGGTTTTTATTTTATTGTATTTTTTTCTTTATTATTCTCTCCCTGGCTCTCTTTTGGGGTTTTTTTTTTTTAAAAAAAAAAAAATATGATTTGTAGTTACTTAGAAGGAGAGAAAAGAGAAGAGGCAGGGCATGAAAGGGGAAAAGGGCAGAGCGGGATTGGTTTATGTGGCAAACTCTGGAAGGAAGGAGTTTGTGACGGTAACCGATTATCTCTCTCTCTCTCTCTCTCTCTCTCTCTCTCTCTCTCTCTCTCTCCTCTCTCTGCTGGTCAGGTCAGCATTCGTGGACCATTATTAATTTGTTAGCTATTACTAGTTTGTTTAACTATTTCTAGTTTGTTTAACTATTTCTGGAAGCACGCACGTACGTATTAGTTTGTTGAATTTTTTGGATATAATATTTGTTTTCAAACGAGTATAAAATTTTTCGGCTCATTCCTCGTCTCGTGGTTGTACTCTTTCGGAGTTATGTTCCGAACGATGGTAAGCTTCTTTTGAAGTGGTAGTGTCAATTCCAGATGTTGACGGTGGTCGTGCGTGTGTTTCACGATCTACTATTTGAAGACATCTTGTTGACCTTGCCACTTGTACCTACCCTGATGGCTCTCTGTCCATTGTATTGTCGTTAAAGGCTTGCGTCAGTAGTGCTTTCAATTTTAGTTATAGATGTTTTAGTTTAATAAAGGTGTATATTTCCGTCATGTAGTATTAAGGTGTCTATATTTCGTTTGAGTTTGTTTATGGTCCTCTAAATTTAGGTCTTAGCGTTTTAAAAGTTCCGCTAGCTACGAGGCTAGCGGAAATTTTGATGGTCTTGGAGCTACAATTTACATCCTCTTAATGGATCGAAAGCTTCCAACAATCATCGTGGTTTCAAAAAGAGCCACATGAATGCTGAAAATTGATGTGTCCAGAAATTTTTCTTATATCGATCTTATCTTGTGCCGTCTTCTCTATGTTTCATCAGAATTTACTGATGAAATCGGTTTTTATTAAGTGTTTTGTATCGTATACTATAGAGTCATCCGCATTATGTTATTGGTGTATGCAAAACTTTTTTGCTAAAAGAAATTTTAGCTTAAAAAATGGGTAAAACAAATATTATTTTGTGGACTATTTTTCTTCTAAACAAAAGGATAAAACAAATATTATTTTCCGAAAAAAGAAAAAACAAGAGGATACGAGAAATACTGGCCACCGCCAAAGCAAACCGATTATAGAGTAAACAAACATATGTTAAAAAGCAAAGTGAAATGAAAAAAAAAAAAAAAAGAAGGAAATTGGAATCTAGATTTGTAACTTTTCATACATAGTCCTAGATAATGTACAAAATCATAAATAGCTTGTGGACTAACGGCAGTATGAATTCATATTTGGTGCGTTGTAGATCCTCATTAGAGACAACTCTACATCCACTTGTTTCTACAGAAATTGGAGTTTGTATCAAATTCCAATACCTACTATCGTGTAAGTTTCCATACCAATTCCCCTTTTTAACAACTTGGACATGCCTCTCTCATCAATTTATTTTTATTCTCGTCCCTCTTTTGTTTGCAACGTCAGTATGCAACAAAAACGTTCATTTCGTTTTGCTCGAAAACTATAAATAAAAACAGGAAAAACGTTGATATTGCTTTATATTCTCAACTGTTTCATGCAAGCGTGTTTTTGTTAGGGGTTGTCTGATTAGTTACAAGACGATTTTTATAAATTCTCCTGAACTTTTACATTATGTTTGGTACGAATAAAAAGTGGAAAGAAAGAAAATGTTAGAGGGATTTTAGGATGGAAATTGATAAATTAACTTGTTTGGTAGAAAGGAAATTGAGAAGGAAAAGAAAATTAAAAGGAAATTATAATTAGTGAGTCCCACCATATTTAATCCCTCTAAAAATGGGAGGATTTTAGGAAGGAAAATGTAAATAACTACCTAAATTACTAAATTGTCCTCATTTTGGCTCCAAAAGTTGGCGCTTTTTTTTTTTTTTTTTTTTTTTCAGAAAGAAGAGATAAATAGGCAATGAGCTTTCTCTCTCCACTTCGATATGTGTATATAGCTAGGATTAAAGATATCCATATAAAAGATTCAGTACATTAAATTAAACATCGATGATCAACCAACCTTTATCACATTCACAGTGCATTCATAGCTACAGTGCATTAATGCTATATAAGTTAAACTATGTTTTTGTACCTTTATATATGTATGTGTGTGTATATATATACATAATATAGATGGAATATATGTTCAAATTACATGAATTTTTTGAGTTAATTTGATGTTGAATACTGTATTATTTATACTTTTATTAGAAAAGAATATTAATAAAAAATATTTAGGTAAAAAAGTAATTACACCAATAATAATTTTTCCATCCCTTTAGTTTCACTTCCAATACCAAACAAGGGAAGGTAGATTCATTTTCTTTCTTCCCTATCATACTAAACAAGTCAAGGGAAAATCAAAATCTTTTCTATCCTTCTAATTTTCTATGCATTATAATTTTCCTTTCCCTTCCATTTTCTTTCCTTCTTACCAAACAGAGCATTAGTACCGTAACTTTTTCAGTCGTATTAAACTTTCTCCTTTCGCTACTTTTTGAACAAACTAAACACATGAAGATCATATGTCCCTCGTTAAAGGTAATTAGGTAATTTTGATCCATAAAACTTTCTACCTTAAAGCTTAATCCAAAAATTGAAGGATAAAAAATAATTTTAGTTAACAATTTTTTTTTTTCAAAATGAAAATTGCCTTCCAAATTAGAGAAGTACAAACCTAATTCAGACACAAGACCCCAAAGCATTTAGCCACTCAATTCTGACAACAAACTAGAAGCACCGGTAGGTTTGATTGAAACGTTCAATGGAATATGTATATATCTAACAAATACACCACTAGTCGATGGATAACTCTGATTGACCGAGATCGAGAGACTAAAAGCACTAAAGCCTACCACAAACAGCAAAGAAACATGACTTGCAGACTAAATATAAATACAACACTAGAAGGTGGGGAGACCACTTCGTTATTACAACAAAAAACTAACAAAGCAGCATAAATTAACGCCCTAAAACTGAACGCCATTATTTGAAAAACACATAAGCTAAAACAAATGGGTAAAATCCAAATGACACTAGCTCGATTTCTGATGACATGTCAACCACCAAGAATGAGCGAGGGTACTGCAATGCAACAAGGGAGCAGAAAAAATGACAAAAAGGAGTCGAGTCACCACCACTAACAAGTGAAAGCGCCTCACCCATGGAGCTACCACCCCACAAGGACCAAAGCCCCCATAATGTAGAGACATGGAAGCACCCACAATCCCCAACCTGCAAGGAGAAATGTGACTACCCCACCCCTTCCAACTACCAAACCGCATACAAGCTCCCTCCAAAGGAACACCGTATCCAAGCCACAACGAGCTCAAATGATGAAAAGGGAGGAATGCAGAATCATCCCACAATGCATAATGCCAGACAAACCCAGTATGAACGGTGTTGTTGAGAGAAAAACAGGATCTTTAAGGACATAGTACCTAGTATGATTAATCATTCTTCTTCACCATAATCCCTCTAGGGAAGCACTAAAGAACTAAAGTATATATATCCTTAATAGGGTGCCAAATAAAGAGGTAGCTAAAATTCCTTATGAACTAAGGACAGACAAGAAGCCTGGCATTAAGCATTTACACATTTGGGGAAGTCCAACTTAGAAAAGGATTTATAGGTCGAATAAAAGGAAACTGGACTACAAAATTATAAGCTGCTACTTTATTAGGTACTCTAAATGGTGAAGGGGTTACAAGTTTTGGTCCCACGACTAGGTCCATTTTTGATATGGGAAATTCAAGATTCCTTGCGGAAGTTGAGTTTGAAGGAGAGAGATAAAGTTAGAGATATTGTCTTTGAAAAGGAATTTGCTTCTCTTCCTTCAGTTGCTAGTCGTAATGTTCAAGTTTCAATGCTTGACATTGTTTAAGATGCAAATCTGAATCAAGACAATGTTGCGGAACTCCATATCCCAAATTAAGTAGTTGCTCCCGATGAGGAAACTCAACAATCTCAATTGAAAGTGTCATTAAGGACTTCCACTAGAGAAAGGAGAAGTGCGATTTCGGTTGTCTATGTCGTCCTTCTCTAAGAACATAAGGTTAATATATGTATGATGGAAAAAGATCGTATCAACTTCCATCAAACCATGAAGAGTTCTAATTCTCAAAAGTAGATTGATGCCATAAAAGAATAGAAGAAATCCATGAAGGATAATGACGTTTGAAATCTCGTCGAATTGCCTATAGATGTGAAGCCCATTGTTTATAAATGGATATTTAAGACTAAACAGGATTCGAAAGGTAATGCTGAGAGATATGAGGTTTGTCTAGTTACTAAGGGATTCATTCAAAAAGAAGGCATCAACTATAAATAGACTTTCTCTTCGGTTTCAACGAAAGACTCTTTCAGAATTATTATGACACTTGTGGCTCATTTTGATCTGGAGCTACATCAGATTGATGTAAAGACTGCGTTTCTCAATGGTGATATTGATGAAACGATATATATGGTGCAACCGGAAAAACTTTGTATATGGTAATTCAAAGAATATGGTCTGCTAACTAAAGAAATCCATCTATAGCCTCAAGCAGGCTTCTTGTCAATGGTATCACAATTTTCAGTAGGTTATTATCTCGTATGGACTTGGGGTAAATAAAGTTCATAATTTTGTATACCATAAGTTTAGTGGGAGTAAATTTGGCTTCCTGGTTTTATATGTCGATGATATACTGCTTGTTGGCAGTAATATAGGCTTGTTGCATGAAACTAAGATATTTCTAGCTAGGGACTTTGAGATGAAAGCTCTTGGGGACGTCTCTTTTGCATTAGGCATATAGATGCATCGAGATCACTCTCGAGGTATCCTTGGGTCATCGCAAAAAGAGATATATCGAAAGAATTCTGGATAGACTCGGCAATAAGACAAATAGACCAGGAAATACGCCCCTTGCTAAGGGAGACAAGTCCAGTCTCATTCAGTGCCTCAAGACAAGTTCAGTCTCATTTAGTACCTCAACAATGACCTTAAAGTTAAAGAAATACAACATATTTCTTATACGTCGGCAGTATGAAGTCTTATGTATGCTTAGGTATGTATGCTTTCGTATATAGCATATGTTTTGGAATTTTTGGAAGATATTTAAGGAACTCAGGAAATGGATCATTAGAAAGCAACCAAATGGGTCATACGGTATTTACAGAGAATAAAGGATTAAATGTTCACTTATCGGAAATCAAATCTTTGGGAGATCATTGGATATTATGTTTTCGATTTTGATGGATGCCAATACAATAAAGATCCACGTCGGGCTATATTTTACTGCTGGCCTGGGGAGCTAATTTTTGGAAGAATGTTAAGCAGACACTCATAGCTTCTTCCATTGCGGCAGCGGAGTTCATAGCCTGTCAAGAGGCATCTGATCATGGAATATGGTTGTGAATCTTTGTCACTGGGCTGCATGTGGTAGATGGTATTGAAAGGCTGCTGAAGATACTTGTGACAGTAATTTGGGCTTGCTATATTCCAATAACAACAGAAGTTCTTCGAAGTTGAAGCAAATAGACTTCATGTTTTTGTTGTTAAATAAAGATTCTAGAGTTTTCAAACTCCATGATTGTGGATCCATAAACCAAGGGTGTACCGCCCAAGGCCTTTCACGAGCTTACACCTCATACGGGTATTGTCTTATTTGACGATGTGCGTGTTTAGTGGGAGTTTGTATTTTGGATGTTTTTTTGGGCAAGACACACTTTTATGTTTGTTTTCGCGAAATAAAAAACATGGATTAGGTTTATCTCTGAACTTATTTGCTTTCTAATTGTGGTTTCGCATTGGGTTTAGAAAGTTTCATATTGATCTCACTAAAGGCTAAAGCAAGACCAATTGGAAATAGGCATGTTGGAGATCACATTGCATGTACTTTCTATGCCACTCATCCATACTCGATTTATGTCATTGAATATGTTGGTATGGTGACCATGGAAGGTTTAGTTACGTTTGAATGTTTCGAAAGCTGCCATGATTTCATACTAATATAGGAGATAGACCAAATCATACAAATGACATCTTAAGGAACATATGATATAATTGTTTTAGAAATCACATGTAGCCCAAGTGGAAGATTGTTAAGAAATTCACGTTAATTTCCTAATATTAATATGGGCACATATTTATATGACAATTATATCATGCTATTTAATAAATGAGCTTTAAGTGATCTAATTAGGAGAGCCCAATAAGACTTCGAATTGGGTATAGGTTTAATGAGTAGATACCCAATACTGACTCAGCTATGTTTAATAGGACCCTACCAGAATAGTATATAAGGACATGTAGGTTATGTTCCTCAATACGTCAAATCATTCGGCCGCTTTCTCTTATATCCTATCTAGAGAGAAACACCATGTTAAGGACTCTAGAGATTTGACTGAGGAAAACAATAACTGGTTTGCTAATTGTTATAGTAATTTTGTAAAAGTGTCTATTGATGCTAATATGAATTCATGTATGCTTCCTCAATATTGCTCTTGTAGTTTGGTATGATGGTTCTTGGTATTTATGAATTTGTTGATTAAAATCATATTTATAATTAAAGTCTACCGGTTCTAACTTTGCTAAAATTATGTATTTCTGTTCATAAGACCGAGTATCACCAACAAGCTTAGGGTCAATTTTCGCTTTTATTCTTTTTCTCTTCTAACTTGTTAAGATAAGATTTAGACTAAACAGAAATAATATATTAGTAATAGAAAAAAGATCTTACAGAAAAATAAGTTAATTAAAAAAAAATCTAAAGACTTTAGAACGATATCACGTTAGCCTGAAAGCGACATGTATTTTCACTTTTGCAATGAGTTTTTTTTTTTTTTTTTTTTTCACGTTGATTTTGGAGAGTTGTGAACTTGTATTCTTTCCCCTTCTCCTCTTCTTACGTGGAAAAGTAGAACAACCACAACTTTGCTTTTTATTTTTTATTTTTTTAAAATGTATTTCTGTTCATAAGATGTCACAACAAATGAAGGGTCAATTTTCTCCTTCATTTCTTTTTCTCTATACTTTTTCTTTTCTTTTCTTGTTGTGAACAAGTAAATACACATGAATATGTACACATAATCTTTCTATAGCATTGACAAAAGATAGATTAAAAATAGCACCCATTTAAACTTATTTTTACTGACAAATAAATACTCGTAGTGGTTACCAAAATCAGTATTATTTTTAAAATGCTATCTTTATTATTGTTATAAAAATTAAACGATCTTTTTCTTTTCTTTAAATAAAGAAAGCACATGCATCTTATAACCTGTCTCATCGTGTAAATAAACAATAAAAAAAGTGATCGATTAACAGTCAAGGCAAACTATTTTTCAATAACAGATTAAATGCTATTCATTAATTTTCTTTTGTTCTGTTTTTTTTTTTCTTTCTTTTTCCTGCAATTCTTTATATTCGTTAAACTTAAGGAAAAGACTTACAAAAAAGGGAAAACTATCCCGAGCATTGAAACATTTTCGTATAGAGCTCCTATATATGTTTAATCACAAAAAATAAAAATAATAACAACAATAATAAATAAATAAATAAGTTAAACTACTGGCACCAATCGTAGAATGCAAAAATACATATATTCTATAATCTCTTTCTATGTTGTAAATGAAGATATAAGGTTCGAGTACACTTCATTACAAAGCTGTACTGTAAAAATATCAGCGCAAATTAAGAAGAGTAATTGGAGCTTTAGGGAAGAATACAAAGCTCCTTTAAACTTACTCAAATCGTGTTGTCCCATAAAAGTGTCCTTTCAGTAGCTGTTCGCGATCTGCGATACTGAAGAATATGTTCCGAGGATTGCGCTGATGATGCCCAACACCACAATTGCGATACTCGAAACAATCTGATTATGCACAAAATAGTGTGTTAAGTGAAGAGGAAAACAAATTTTATGAAGCAGCAAACATCTAAAAAAAAAAATGATGCATGATTTACAAAGTAGCAAATTATACACAATACTTGTGATGCCACTGAGACTGAAAACTGGTGTACTCGCAAACTGACTGGAACAGAAGCATGAAAGAAACCTCTCTATATACTTTTATATATATATATATATAAGTACTAGGAGACACCAGTAGAGCTAAGCACTACACACTAATAGAATGTGGATCAACAGATGAAACTCACTTTTTATTAGTTGTCGTGCTTCCCATGAAAAACGGCATTCAAAATGCTTGATAGCACATACCGTGTGTTCTCTTGATACAATTCCGGTGAAAACTTATTATTCATTACGAGAAAGTTAAACCTAACTTGTTATTTTCTTTGTCAATCGAGGAAAAATAGCAAAACGCGCATCTAACAAATTTAGTACTTGCAAAACTCTGCTCACCTGAACAGTTGTAGCTTTCTTCCCCACTATCTTTAGAAAGCATAATGCCGGCATTATTACTGCCTGAACCAAAGAAACATCCATTTTATAAGATTCGTTGACTTTGATAAGGACACATCTAGTAACATAAACAGTCAACAAAAGACAGAAAATGAAAAAAAAAACAAGCAGCAATGTAAATTTGATTTCATGTGACATGTAAGATGAATCAAAACCATGTATGAAGGATTGCAGGCCAACAAAATGCATCTCAGACCTTCGGGTTGTGGTTTGTACTTCTATGAAGTACCATTCTCTAAAAGGGACTAATATAAAGAACAAAAAAAGAGAATTTATAGAACCTTTTTAATTCCCTGGCTCAAGTAAAGTAATGTTCTTAGTCTTCTGATTTTTCATGAAGATTAAATCTTCATTAAAAGCTAATTTGGCAATTAACTTTTCTATCAGCAGATGTCCTTGCTAAATATTGTCAATTAAGGTATACTAATGTCTAATTTGTTAACGTGATGCATTTTTTTTTTTTTTAAGTTGCAGCCAAATAGCCAATAAATAAACAAACATCTTCTATAATGAATAATAAACCGATTTTCACTAATGGACTAAATGTATGTAGTTATTAAATTGGTGTACATATGCTCACCACTAGTATGCTTAGGAGAGAACCTATTAAGGCCATCACAAGACCTGCAATAAATAAAAAAAATTACAAGATCTTAGTCATCAAGTTCCTCCAAGTTGGCCGGAAAACGAAGTGATCATAGTGCTCAAGGATTTTAATAGCAATATCCTGCTATCTCTGGAGCGGAAGAAAAGTAACAATTAGTAAGAAAATATAATAGCAATTATGATTTTGCATTTCCATATTGTCTCGAAAACTTGGATTGGAATGGACAGTAAAATATGTGGTTGAAGATGAAGTACAAAATGTACCAAAGAAAGGAAGAAGGAATGCAGCACAAACAGAAGAAGCCACAAGGGCCGTCCTAAGAAGAATGAAACACCAAGGACTATTCGAGACTCGAATCGGAAGCAGCTCTTCAATACTCCTTGCCAATGGGTTCATCAACAAAGCATACTTGTTAAAGGTTAAGGAAGCAAAGTATCAGAAGTAATTTCTATGAATTTATCGATATATTTCATCAGCTATTTTTCACTAAAAAAAAACTATGAAAAGGATATTTAGTGAATGGGTTGATAACCTGCAAGAACCAAGATATACAAGCTTAGTAATCTTGTAAAATATTCCACCCCAAGTTCATTTAAACATTCAAACTAAAAACTCTGATACTCACTGTTGTCCACAATGCGACTCTCGAGACAACAGAATCTTTTGGCATATTCAGAGTTATCTGAGACAATGCACTTTGACCAAATATAAGATATCCCATGACTGCAACACCCCCGTATATTAGGACGCACAAGAGAAAACTGCAAGAAAAGAGCCAAAAAGGATGAGGCCAGAAAAAAGGAAAGTGGGAAGAGGACGCCCCAAACACCAAATTAATGAAAAGAAAACACGCTTCTGTACCATATAATTAGCGCCGGAGTGAATTTTCTTTTGTCTGCCATAGACTGGTATATGTTTGGGAAAACCGAATGACCAGAATAGCAAAATCCATAGACCCCAATGGCAAATGGAATTCCTCTCCACTTCACTACTTCACCAGTTTGGTGAAAACCCATTCCTTCGGCTGTACCAAGTAAAAATACGCATAGAACTATCAAAATCGTCGCAATGACCCCACCGGCTGCAAAAACAACGAAGCAAAGAAACAAAACCAGGCAATGTTATAATGTAAAATCCATAGTTTAAAGGCACCAATGGATTGGGGTTGTATTTACTAATCATATATACATATAGATAGATAAATATTGAACACCTGAAAGGTACGAGATCACGCGGAGATCCCTCAACCATACTGTTGGTAGAACAATCAGGGCAGTTAAAATTCCAAAGAAGTGCATCGAGTCGAGCTGAAAATGGCCCCAGTCTAAGGATGTCCCAGGGAATAGACTGGTAAGGTTATCTCCTTCCAAAATTATGAACTCCACACAATAAGACTGCACAATTAGAAGAAGAAAAAAAAATGTTAACTTGAAGAATGAGGATCAATAACATATGATTAAAAAATAGTATAAAGTTCAAGAATCAGTTTTACTTACATATAATTCGGTGTACAAAATGATCTGCAGATGAGAAAAAGATAGAACAATATCAGGACAAGAAAAAACAGAACAAAGAAACTGACATTTAAATATGTTGCAATGACATACAATCTCAGGTTGTATAATACAAATGGACAAACCAAACATGGGACGGAAATGAACTATATACTGCAAACTATATGCTAACTACACATCTAAAATGCTCCGGTTCAGTGATCTGGTTCCTAACCCTGCAATCAAGACATCAAATTTGGGACTTACAGATAAGATCAAACGACCATATTTTCCGAATGCAGCTTCTCCCAGGTCGGGATATGTTACAATGCCGTCTTTGCTCTCAAAGCAGTACCTCATGAGGGAGGCTGTGTAACAACAAATGACAGCAAATACAACTAGCACTACCAAACTTGCCCACCCAGCTTCTTTCACGGTAAACGGCGTAGAGAGAAGCCCAACTCCAGCCATCACATTTATTCCTGTCTCCAGCCAACATCACAGGAAATCACTCAAACACAACCAAAAAGCCTGAAAACCTTCGTTTACTAGCATATCAAGTATGAGCATAATAAGAATAAAATTCAATGAAAACTGCATGTGAATAGTGTTTAATAGGACATCATACAATATTTCAGACACAACTTTCATTATAGTGGCAGTAAAATAACAATACTTACCATTGAATATGGTTTGAGTGAAGCTACATCCCTGACCAATCGGTAACTCTCCGGTCAGCTGCTTATGCAAATGGGATTTTTCTGACCATGAGGATTGTGTTCTTGAGATCCTATCCAAATCACTCTTCTGATAACTTTTATCAGACAGTAAAGGAGACTTTCCATCAAGGTCTAAACTATCTTTGCTATGGCCGCCGAAGCTCGAGTATATAATGCTCCGAACATGTCCAAGACTACTTCCGAAATTCGGCGATGCTGCTATTGTGTAAGAATCAATTGTCTCCCTGCCAAAAAAAAAAAAAAAAAACCATAAAAATCTGTTTTATCCATTAATCCAAGGAAAAAGAAAAAAATTAATTTCTTAAGTTCTTATTTTCAACATGTACCCTTGTAAATCTCCCCATCCCACCTCCACAAATTTCCCCTACTGATCATATTCAGTCAATAGCTGGAAAAAAGAAAAAGTTCTGTTCTGTCTCAATACTTTTAAGCGCTAGCAATGAGTAAGACTAAATATTTTCCACTTTATCATATTCAAAGTCACTTAACTTTCGTGCCATATTATACTTATCAAATCTCATATAAATCATTGATTTTCCCATACAAGGCTTTAAACTAGCATGACAAATGTGCAAAGAAAGAAATGAAATTGAGTTTACACCCTCAAAACTTCTTTTCAAGCTTCATATATATTCAGCGATATATACATACATACATATATATATATATATAAAATTATTAACAATATGCATACTATCTTTAGATACAAGTCTAATTATTCACAAATTTACATATAATATAAAATTTCTCAATAACAACCATATTAAAAGGGGTCGCATACTTGTAACTCTGAGGCCATTGTTGGGAAGAAAAACCACCAAAGTTCGATCCCTCTCCATTCGTAGGCTCGTCTAAATCGCTGCTGCTAGCACTGCTTTCATTCTCAATCCTGTTAACTTCAATGTCGTTTTCCTGCTCGCTTCCATAATTGTCGTCGTTTTCCCAGAAAAACTCTGTGTCCTTCTCATTTTCTTTCTCAGCTGCCATGATAGGAAAAAAAAATTTGAAGAAAACGAAAAAATATACCAATTTCTCAGAAAATTTTCTTTTATTTTCTTCTTCAGAGAAACTCAGGTTTTGAAGGAGGTGATTTTTTGTTCTTTCGCTTTCTATGTTTCTCTTCTATAATATTGTTTCCTTATTTGGGAGGTTTTGTTTTTTCGCATTTGCCATTAGTATTAGCTGTGCACAGTTGTATCCTCAACGTACGTTGGAATCGTATTATGGGTGTTTTTCTATTTATTTATTATTTTTTTTATGTTATCCCATATTCATTATTTTATTCTTGAATATGTCTTTTTCTTTTTCTTTTTTTTTTTTGCGTGGAATCTTTATGAAATTAACATAGTATTCTTTTTGCACCGAATATTATAAACATTTTAGGATTCACAACAACCGCTAATATCTAAGAAGTTTAATCATATTTTATATTTTTCATTTTTGCTTTTTACAGTACAATATTTCTTTCATTTTAAAAGGTTAAATAGAGTAAAAATTACATTAAAACAAGAAGAAGAAAAAAACAAACATAATTATATTTAAAACGGAATTCTACTGATTGAGTATAACGATATAGATGAAATTCTCATTATTGTTATATTTTCATTTTTCATTTTATTAGAAGTCAATCAGATAAATTTTGGTATTGATCTGTGTGGCTGAGGATGAAACTCCAGAAGGTTACGAGGTAATTTGACAAACAAACAAACTACAACTAACTCACTTCTGAGCATGGCAGACAGAGATGAATCATTGGGGCACGGCTATGACGTGGCATTCATGCATGCGCGAACTTTCTGGAAAAGGCAGGAAAAAAAGCAAGACAAAAAACAAAACAAAAAAAAAAAAACCATCAAAGAAATGATACTTAAATCATCGGTGAATCTCACAAATATTCCGTAAAGCTTAACCTCAATTTTAATTTGGTCATTTATTTTTAAAACATTTGACGGTTAGTTTATGAGATTTTACTCTGTCAATTTCAATCCTTCTTTTAATTCTATGTTAAATATTTAACAGAATGTGTGATTTTTTAGAGAATAAAATGTGAAACATTCAAAGACTAAAACAATATAAAAATAAAAATTAATTTTTGCAGATAATTCTTAAACTCTATGTATCTATTTGAGCAAATATGCATTTGCATTTGAATAAATATGCCTAGAAGCTCTGGAGTCCACTATCTAATAGTTTGAAGAAGACAACTTAGATATCACAGAAACAGAAAAACATGTACCTGTGAAAGAATAAGTACTAGGACCATCTTGTTGTTCACTGGCCATAGCAAAGGAAGACAGGTGGCTAGCAAACATGGCCATCAACTGGTGATACTGATTCTTGTCAAGGCTCTGGACGAAATTCTCAGTTCCTCTGATGTCTCTATCACTTTTCTCAGGCAGATTGGGTTCATTAGAGAGTTGATTGACAGCCACCTTCTGGTTCTTAGACTAACTTTTCGGTCGTTGCTTGAAACCAGGTGGATAGCCATGTAACTTGTAGCACTTCTCAATAGTGTGGCCATGATAATTGTAGTGAGTGCAAAAAAGTCTGTCTTTCTTCTGACCTCTATTGCTTCCAGTATTTCGAGTGTCAGCATTAGCGACAAAGCCTTTGAAACCATCATTTTTAACAGCAAACGCCATTCCATTAGCAAAATTAGTGCCTAGATTTTGTTGTCCAATTGTTCTCTGACGTTTTTCTTGAGAAATCAGGGAGAAAACGTTATTGATAGGTGGAAGAGGATCCATCAAAAGTAATTGACCTCTTACTTGTGCCAAAGAATCATTAAGACCCATGAGGAATGACATAATGTACTCCATCTGGTAATAAGAATTTAGCTCCTTAACTCCTCCACATGTGCACTTTCCACAATAACAAACATGCCTATAATTGCTGAGTTCCTCCCATAAAGCTTTCAGCTTTGTAAAGTACACACTTACAGAGTTTTGATCCTGGTTATGGTTCACCAATTCACGACGTAGTTGAAAAATCCTAGGTCCATTACTCTGTTGAAGCGATCTTTAAGATCAAGCCAGATTTCAGAAGTAGATTCTGAAAAAATAATACTTGCAGAAATCTTTTTCGACACTAAGTTCAGAATCCATGAAATCACCATATTATTGTTCCTAATCCATGAATTAAGAAGATTCAGATCATTACCTCCAGGTTTGGGAATGGAGTCATCGATGAACCCTAACTTGTTCTTCACAGAAAGAGCAATTAGCATCGCTCTACTCCAGGAGGCGTAGTTACCTCCCGTCAGCAGCTATGAAACGAGAACAAGGCCTGGGCTATCAGAATGATGAAGATAGTAAGGATTAAGGGGATCATCAATGGCGGATGTGGATTTGCCGATTGACGCAGAAGAATTTCCAGATCTTGGAGTATCTATAAAAATTGAAGAGGAATATCAAAGATTTTCAAACTACTCAGTCAGAATAAAAAAAAAAAACAAGGATTCGAGATGAATCAAGAATCAAGAATCGAGATGAAGAAGAATTGAGATCGAGCAGCAAAAATGTTGCTCTGATACCATATTACGAGAACATAGCAAAATGGAGAAGAAAAGATAAACTTCTCATTAGATTTCTGAACCAACTAAAATACACTGATTGTCCACTATTTATATATACACAAGCTAACCGACTTAACAAAGCGGATAAATATTTATAGCTAAGCCAGCTAAGCTGATTGTTATAATAGAAATAACCAATAGAACAAACTTCACCAACTCTAAAATTAAGAAAGTCCCACTCCACCCTATCATACGTTTTACTCATTTCAAGTTTTAGCGCCATAAATCCTTTTTTCCCCTTTACCGTCTTCTGGATTAAGTGGAGTAGCTCGAAAGACATGATCACATTATCTGATATTAGATGATTAGGAAGAAAGGCACTTTGACACTCCGAAATGATCAACGGAAGGAAACTCTTTTACTTATTCGCAATAGCTTTTGTAATGATTGTAAACACGACGTAGTAAAGACTGATAGGTCAGTAATCGATTACCTTGCGTGGGTTCTTAGACTTCAGGATGAGAACGAGATAAACATGATTGAGAGGGTTGGCCGATTCTCTCCCATTCAGCACATTCAAGCAAACCCTCACAACGGCCCCTCCCACAATTGACCAATGTTTCTAGAAAAAATAGCTTGGCCCCCGTTCGGCCCCGGAGCCTTGGTAAGGCCCATAGCAAAGAAGGCCCCCTTACCGTCATCCTTATTAAAATTAGTGTCCAAAGAAGCTTCATTGACTTTGCTATCAATACCCACAGTAACCTTCCTAATTGCCTCCTCCGAAGGGTCGGAGGACGAGAAAATGGCGGCGAAATAATAACCGAGGAGCCCAAGAATTTCATCTTCAATACCCTTGATTTCATTCCTCTGGCGTCTCCGAGATGCACGATCATGAAAAATCTAGGGTGCATTTGGTAGATGGATTCTAAATTATGATTTTGAATCCTGATTCAGAATTAATGTTTAGTTTAGATAATTCTGAATCATGATTCAGAATCTGATGTGATGTTTTAAACTAACTCAAATCATGATTCTAAAACCACTTCTTCTTGATTCAAGGTGATTCAAACCCCTGATTTTAAATCATAGTTTCAGAATCATGATTTGAACTCAAAATCATAAATCATAATTCTGATTTTAAAATCATAATTAGAATCATCCTGATTCAAATCTTTTTACCAAACGAACCCCTAGTGTTCCTATCACCACCTTTTAAGCAGTCGGCACGAGCGCCCTGCCTCCGGTAATAGTCTTCCAATTCTAAAAGCTGGTCCAACTCCAGCTCTTTGCTTGTAATGCTATCCCTAGTAACTCTAGAACATGGCTCCCCATAAAAACGAGTAAGGTCTTTCTGCACTCTAGCCACCCTTTTAGGGATATTACCAAAAACCCCGGAGCTCCACCCCTTCAAAGCATCTTAACAAGATCGTAATAATTCCAGAACTCCCTTATCGTCAGGATTTCCAATGTTTAGAGTCCAAGCTTCTTCCACCACTCTGTAACAGTCACACCGGGTCGAAAGCCCACCTTTGAACTCCATCCAACTTCCCTTTCTTCTCTGCTTCTTTCGGGGACAAATTGACAAGAAATCGGCGATGGTCAGAGCCCCAGAAATCCAGATGAGTGATCTCGGCTGTCGCAAAAAGAGTCTTCCAAGTTGGGTCTGCCAAATAATGTTCCGTTCTCGCTTGAACATTTATCCCACGTTAAAGCCTCTCCTTGAAAACCCAGATCCCTAAGATTGCAATCTTTCGCAACCTTGCGGAAACTCCTCATATCACTATCTCTTCTATCATTTCTCCAGACATGCTCCGACGGAAAAAAGACTTCATTAAAGTCCCCTCCACAAAGCCAAGGGAGGGAAGAATTATCTTGGATTCACCTCAATAATTCCCAAGAGAGGTGGCGCTGAGAACGCCCCGGATTCCTATAGAAACCAGTGAAACGCCACCGCGGGCCGCCATCAACAGCGACAGCCATATCGATATGGAATTTGTTATAGCTCTTAATATCTAAATCAACATCTTTCCACAAAACCATCAGTCTGCCACTTTTTCCTTCACAATCAACACTTAAACCACTCCAGAAACCCAAACAATTAACCATTCTATTCACTTTGCCACCCCTCAGCCTCGTCTTCGACAGGAAACCCAGCTCCGGTTTGTGCTTACGGAGGAGCCTCCGCAAGCGTCTGAATGCCCGGGGGTTACCCAACCTCCGAACGTTCCACAATAAGATTTTCATTGTGATCGGCGAGCCTGCGAAGCAGTGCCCACCGCTGGTAAATCATTTGTGGTAATATCTGAAGTTCTATGAGATTTACCTCCGTTCTTGCTAGGTAATTTCTGAACGTACCGACAAATTTATTCGGAGCAGTTCCTCTTAACTTCGGACCGTACCCAAAGCCACAGTTGAGAGGCTCCATTGGGGCATCCTCCGCCGTACATCTCTTCCAACAAAAATCTGGGAGTTTTTCATATTTCACGTCAAGCCAGACCATCCTCCCTCCATTACCGAGCTGTGCTTGAACCACTTGCCAGAGAGGTTTCGACACATCCACCAGATTGTCCTGGACCTCCCTTATCTCCAACCTGCTGGAAACATTTCCATGCATGGGCCATATTTCATATTTCATGTTTTTCTATTATCTCTTTTGTTAAAAGCTTCATCCCGTG